GGGGGGGGGGGGGGGGGTTGGCAAGGCTTCGGGTTTCTAGATTTTTTTGTAAAGTGTAGTTGGGCCTTTCTATCTCGCCAGCCCCATCCTTTTTCGAACGTGCGCTCAAGTCGACACCCCGGTTCAGGGTCAGGGCTTCGGGTTTAGGAGGTGTGCTTCCGGATGCAGCTACCAATATAGCTGGCCACAGGGTTCCGAGATAAGCCTGTTCGGGTTTAGAGCTACTTGGAGGATCATGGGACTTAGTAAGTAAGTTATAAGTCCCCTAATGCGGGTTATAAGTATAGTTACCTTAGTTATAACCCTACTTACTAAGTCCCATGATCCTTTAAGTATGGCCGGGGTTAGAGTTGTTACCGGGCTTAGAGTCATGAGGTCAACAGGTCTTGAACAGTCAGAATCCAACATTAAACGGGGCGTGGGGCCCCCCCCCATAGATTCTCGGAAAGTGTTTCATTGCTAGGGGTATTTTTATCTCTACTGCCTCTTTTGAGGTCAAAACCCTCCCGCCTAATTCAGAACAGGTTTTTAAAGGGCAGGGATGATTTCGGGAGGATGGGGCCGAATGTCTTGTTATTATTAGCGAGGTGCTTAATGAAAGGGGGAAGCGATTAATCAGGATCTATAGTCTTTCGAGCCTATATAGCATAGGGGCTTGTAGCTCAAGTCCAAGCCCTAAACCCTAAACTTGCCCTAAACCGTGTCTGTGCTTGTTTGTTTTAGACCAGCGCTTCAAGGCCCTGTCCACCCCGCCCGAAATCTGCATTTGCATTCACTGTCTCAGGGTCAGAGGTCTCTCTTAAACCCTAAGCCCAAAACCAAAATGTCATTGCTAACTGACTTAAGTCTGATTCTGTGGCTCTGGGGAGCTTAAGGGCCCTGGTCTACTCTCTCTCTCTCTGCCTCGGTGTCTCTGCACTTGCAGCCATACCAAGAGATCCCTTCATCCCTCAAGAAACTGATTTGAGAAGTGCCAGCCCGCTAGACCAAATAAACAATCCAACCACGACAACTCGAATAGCCCGACTGCGCAACTGCACAGCCGACGTGCCACGTGACACTTGCAACAACAGCAGTCTCAGAATCCGCTCCACGGGGGTAAGCCGCGGGCTTCACAAATCCCAAGCGAGTGTTGGCACACGAGACCTGCGACGCATCTGCGGGACACGGTAAGGGCCTACTGCCACGGGCGTATGTAGTCTGAACCCCAAAGGGTCTTGTGGGCCTCAGGGCGTTGGAAGAAAAGTACTTGAAACACGTCCACGCATGATGTATGAGGTCGCCTACAAGTAAGTTGAAGGGTAACATCCTGACTCTGGCTTTTGCGGACAGGCTGTCTCTGGCGAATCAAGCATAAGCTTCCCTGTCAGTCACTCTGAATGACTCCATCATCCCATGGCTTCAAGGTATTTCACGTTATGATGATTAACCGGAGCACCAGGCTTCCGAAACATCGATGCTGGAGCTTGCATCGAAATGCACCGTGACTGCATCCAGTGACGCAACTTTGTAAGTAACGCACCAGATGACATGCCTCGACATCTTCACGGATTTTAAACATCTCCGATATGCCGCCAGGAATAATGATCGTGACATTCCGGGGGTACTCCTTCGCCAAGCACCTGGGCAAAGGCATACCTGGCGCCTGCGCACCTTTAAACACCACATGTTTCGTGTTGCTACTAGAAGGACACGACTACTTGTTTTGCGACCAGGACAACCAGGATGGCATTCTTCAGTTATACACTGGAGTCGCAAGTGGTTTGGTTCAGTGTTTAGGAGTCAACGCCGAGAAGCTGCAGCTCAGAGAGAGATTGTCAGTAAATGTGGGTATCTTGATGGTCTTCGACTGTGTCTTTGAGGGTTTGGTTTAGGGCTGAGACTTCTCTTAGAAAGCGAACAAGTTAGCGGTCGAACCGAAACCAATAGACTTGGGGTCAAGTGTCAAATCCTCTAAACCCTAAACGCGAAACCGTTTATAGCGCCTGTCCGAAAGGGTATAACTTGTAGGAATCTTTTATCCCCGAAGCCTTGAGAGAAGACTTTCAGGGAACCACCTAAAACCCTAAACCCTAAACCCTAGACCCTAAACCCTAAACCCGAAACATAGTGTAAACATAGTGCTGAGGTCTGAACTCACGGATGGCCTCCGGGGTGGCCTCAGATCAGATCTCATCTTCAGAGGCTCCAACAGCTCTCATGGTCGGCTTTAGGTTTAGGAGTTTAGGAGTTTAGGAGTTTAGGGGTTTAGGGGTTTAGGGTTTAGGGTTTAGGGTTTAGGGTTTAGGGTTTAGGGTTTAGGGTTAGGTTTGGGGGTCTGGCTTCTAGTTTAGGGCCCTAAGCTTTATAGTTTAGGGCCGAAGTTTAGGGCTAGGGCTAGGGGTGAGAGAGAGCTTCTGGCTGAGACTAGAAACATTTGCATTAGTAAATTAGGGCCCCATTTTAGGTCCCCAATATAGTACGGCACCATTATAAAAAGGACCCTAAAAGGGACCCTAATTTAGAGAACTACCCATATTGAGCCTCATAAACCCTAAACCCTGACTCGTTCCCAGTCTTCAACGTCCGAGTCGCAGGTTTGTACCCGAAGTAGCGCAGAAGTCTCCCGGCAACCGGCAGCTTGCCGAGGACGCTGGCACCCACAAAGTTGGGCAAATAGCCTGCAAGCGACTTGAGATGTTCGGGCTTTTACTTCTTCTATAAAATTGGGCTATACTATACAAAACTTTTCTATACTATACCAGACTAGACTATTATACTTGATTTTACTACTGTACACTACATTGTACTGTAACAAGATTGATGAAAGTGCATTTGTCGGCATAGGTATAAGCAGAAGCGTTCAAGAGTTCTAAACGAGGAATTCATGGATTCTACAATCTACAACGGTAAAGGGCTGACGACATTGACAATGCTGGCTGTGAGGGTTTCGGGTTCAGGGGTGCAGGCTGCAACCACAGGGGGAACCCATCATCTGTGCGTACGGGATTCAGGGTTTATAGGATGTTGAACTGGGGACGATACACATACAGTGCTGAAGCTTCAAATACATGGGCCGTCCTGGAAATGATAAACCCTAAACCCTGAACCCAAACCGATGTGTAACTTCCCTAAACCCCTCCTAAACCCTAAACCCTAAAACCCTAAATTCCTAAACCCTAAAACCCTAAAACCCTAAACCCTAAACCCTAAAACCCTAAAACCCTAAAACCCTAAACCCTAAACCCTAAAACCCTAAAACCCTAAAGTCTTAAAGTGCACATCCACAGACCTCCTCTCCCTCAAGGCCTTGGTTGAGCAGTTCGACGATGATGCCCGCCACGCCCCAGGGGAAGAAGCCATGGGGCGTCACGGCCAGAAGGTAATGACGATCCTGGCGGCAGAGGGCTTAGGGTTTGGGGTTTGGGGTTTAGGGTTTAGGGTTTAGGGTTTGGGGTTGAGGGTCCAGAAACATGGGGATCTTCCGGATAGGGCCGCAAAGCCAACAGACCCATTCACTGAGGGCCAGACCGCCAATGCTGAATCCCATAAACCCCCTCCGCACTGTGCAGAAAACTAAATCTAAACTGTAGATCTCGAACTACCCCTGACACGCATACTTCAACGGTTAAGATCTGCCGCAAGTGCTCCCCATAACACCACCCAAACCGAGACCCTGGACCCTGGAGAGTTCTGATGTATCCAAGCCGCAGGCTTCTAGGCTCGTAGGGTTTTTGTTTCGGCTGCGGTCTTAGGGAGTGTAATTGCCTCTTCGGGGTTTGGGTTTTCAAGGTCTTGAGCCTTGGGGTTCATCCCTAAACCCTAAACCCTAAACCCATTTAGACCTTTAGGTGTTTGGAGTTTGGTGAATGTTCTGTTCTCTTCTCTTCGAGGTAGGGGTTGGGCCGTGAACCCTTTATGAGCCCTGGGCCAGAATCCTGAGGTCTAAATCGAGGGTTTAGGGTTTAGGGTTTAGGGTTTAGGGATACACCCTAAACCGACCCGAAACCTTAAGACTGGGCTGAAAGCATGCGCAGGCCTTCTTGAAGAGATTTGTGACATCTCTGTCCGGATAAAAGCGATGGCGATGTGCATTTGTCAGCCTCGCCGCCATAATGTCAGATGTCTGGGGATGCTAAGAAACCTCTTGAGCCTGGGTTGCACAGGGAGAGTTATAGTTGAAGGAGGGGATTTGGGGCAAGTTGAGGCTTTAGGGCCAGCTTCTCTCCCGGATACCGGGGGCAGCAAATGAATTTTGCAAAACAGCATGCACGCCTCAAAACCTGCAAGCCCGTGACGAAGTGTCTGTGCTGTAGAATCAGGGTCGAAGGGCGTATCTTGCAAGGTGTAACACAGGATTCTAGACCCCCATTAGGCAGCGATTGAGAGCTTCGAAGCAAGCTCAGAGCGGAGGTTTGCGCACCGCTATCCGGTATGCAGCGCTTGAACCCTCAATCCAATCTGAAGCCACGATGGAACACCTCAGAACCGCCGTAGATGCTGTGGCTTCAATCCGAAACTGTGCCGTAGCCTTCAAATCCTGAACACCCTTCTCACACACACCACATTACAACACAACTGAGAGTCTGTAAGGGTATGACTGGCGGATAAATGGTAGCCACCAGCGCGCTGTGATATCGCACTCTTTGGCCATCGGAAGTAGCCTTAGCTGGAGTGCCACTAAAGTGTTTTCGAGTTGTCCTGGTACAAGTTTATGATCTGAGGCAGAGGTGGATGCAAAGGGGCCGTGATAGCTTTGGCTGACGAAAACGGCAAGCCACTATCTGTCTGTCGATCTCATCTATGTTGTATCTTCCTGCCATACCTCTGCCACGGCTATGTCGGGTATGTGTGCAATTCCATCAGGACGAGTGCCTCAAGCCAGTTAGTCAAGCCAAACCCGATACCAAAATCCTAATCTTTACACCCTAAACTCCTGCACGACCGTAAAACTCGAAGCTTTAAACGGGCCGAAGTAAGCAAGCCCTACATTCCAGTCTATGTCAGTTCATCGCAAGAAATGGAAGTAGGATATACCAACATATAACATAACGGAACATAAAATACCATAATCTGTAAACGAAAATTCACAAAACAGGCTGTTGTTCCTTTCGTGATCTAGAAGAGGCCCTAAGTTTACGCTCCAAGGTTCAGGGAGGAGGATGTAGGGTGTGTTTGGATAAAACAATAAGGCATGCTGTCTTCGTATCCACAAGCTTTCTGGGACGTATAGTAACGCTGAAGTAACCCTAAACCCTCAACTGTAGGGGGTCAAAATGGCAGCCAAGAAAGCCACCAAGGTGAACCCCAAACCCCGAACAACCCATAGACCCAAATAGACGAAAACCCCAAAATCGACAGCCCTGTGCAGACCTTTGGAAACCCTGGAGCCTAGAATATGTGGGTTTATTCTTAGAGTGCGATTCCTATCAAGGGCAGACGTGTATTAGGTTTTCAGACTCCTGTATTGGATGACTAGCCACGTTTCATGGACAATATCTCTCTGTCTCTCACACAAAACTATTGCATTGTTTATATATAGATAGATATATACACATACATGTACATGCACATACACACATACATACATGCATACATACATACATACATACATACATACATACATGCATACATACATGCATACATACATACATACTTGAATTCATACATACATACATACATACATACATACATAAATACATACATACATACTTGAATTCATACATACATACATACATACATACATACATACATACATGCATGCATGCATGCATGCTTGCATGCATGCATAGATGCATACATGCATATATGCATGTATGCATGCATGCATTCATGCATGCATACATGCATACATACATGCATACATACATATATACATACAGGCATGCAGGCATACACGCATACATGCATACATGCATACACGCATACATACAGACAGACAGACAGACAGACAGACAGACAGACAGACAGACAGACAGACAGACAGACAGACAGACAGACAGACAGACAGACAGACAGACAGACAGACATGCATACATACATACATACATAAATACGTATGCGCACAACCCGCGTAGAACTTGATCACCCCAATCCCCACATGCCTGTAACTTGCCTGTAACCGCACAGCCTCAAGGCCCGGGCCTCCCCGAAGCCTCTTCGTCAAATCTGACACATCTTTGTTTAAGGCTAAGACATAAACCCTAAACCCTAAACCAAAAGGACCCTTACAGGAACCTTGGCCCTGATTCTAAACCTTAGGGCCCTATAGACCCTCAGCCCTAAAATCCTAAGTTCTAAGTCCTGGAGTTTGTGGGTATGTATATACATATGTATATATACATATATATATATATACACAATAGAAAAACTTACAGAAAGCCCCAAGCCTTAGAACCCAAAGTTCCCAAGCCCAAACCCTGAAAGGAACCCCTCGAAATCCTGCGAAGTCTTAGGTCGTCAGGCAGCTGATCCAAGCCGATCCCAAGAACGGAAGCCGCAGCGAGGAAACGCAAGCCTCGGCTTCGCTCAGATTGGGGATGTTTAGAGTTTTGCATTTAGGGCGTCTAGGGTTTGGGGCTT